CTGACCTAGTGTACAGTGTGATTGTGGCACCATGTTGAATTCTCTGCTTCGTTTTGGTTGAAAACACCCTAACAGATTGTGTTATGTTTTTTTGTTTTTTGTTTCTTCATTTGGCTGATTGTCATTGATGCTTTTTGTTTTGAATGTTAAATAATTAATTCGTATTCAGCCTTTAGTTCCTATAAAGTTAATAATCATTAACTCTTCCCCCCTCCCTTCCCGTGTGGGTCCTAAGACCCCATTGTGGGAAAACAAGAATAGACCCACTGCCTCCCCAACAAGCATGTGGTAGGGGTCGACTAATTGGGGACTTCCTACAAAGTCAGAGTGTATCTGCCCCAATGACAAGAAACAGCCGACTGCACACAAATAAGCCAGTAAAATGGAGGCTCACACACAGGCCCTGGCACAAAGCCACAGTCCAAATGGATGAACAACCAGAACTTTCTGCTTGTGCTTACAGCGGGTAAACATAGGAGAAGATGAAGGATTAACTCTTTCAGCATCAAGAAATTCATGTTTGTAAATCCTCATTAACCACTTTTTCCGCTAAGCAACATGGGGAGGAACAGTTTGCGATCCATTGCTCAGTGGATAACAGTCGACATTGTTATTGGATGGATGGATGGCGAATGTCTTTACTGTCACCACCAGTCTATCTTCTCCCTGGGAACCCCTTTGCTTTCACAGCTGATCTTTTGAGGCATAAGTGCCTGTTTGGCCAGTTTTTGTAGCTGCATTATAACAAACGGCCAAAGCTCGGATCTTTTGCTTCTCAGTGTGGTGCAATGCAAGCACAGTCTAACTTATAGTACTATTTCTAACTCTGACTCAGATGGTCAAGTTAGTGTCTGTCCTCAGTATCTTATTCTGCTGGAACAGAAAATACCAAAATAGTTTGAGGTTTGAACAGCGGATCAACATCATACCACACAAGTAGCAACCCATAAGTGCTCCATACTTCTTCTAACTGAAGTCTGAGTCCAAAGAAGCTCAGTACAGGGCACAGGCTCTGTAGCACTGAGGAGGATCCTAAAATACTTTGGGTAGATTTTAACTCAAAATTTTTCCCTTGCAGCACTGTTAGGCTAATTTTTCCGATTTCCAGCTGCCAAGGGATTTTTTTTTTTTACATATGCGGCAATGCACACGGGCGTCCGATCTCACTACCCAGAGACCAGGGAAAATTACTAGAAGTCCAAGTCTAGGTGAAAAAATTCCAACCCATACTGGGGATTGAACCCGGAACCTCTAGCACTTGAGGCCGACACCATGCCTCGAGCACCGTGCGGCCCCCTCAGAAAAGGTTGATAATGAGAAGTAATGCAGTAGAAACCTATAGTAGTGGTGTAGCACACCTTTAATTTATCATGCCACTGCAGCTCCGAGATATTCGAGGTGGTTTTTGTTCAGTCTGCCTCTCTTTCTTTCTCTATTTGCATCTCTCTCTGCATATGTCTTGTCTGTCTCTCTCTCTCTCTCTGACACACTCCGTTATGTCTGTCTCTTACTCTTTATCTCTATCTGTGTCTCTCTGTCTGTCTCTCTCTCTCTCTGACACACTCCGTTATGTCTGTCTCTTACTCTTTATCTCTATCTGTGTCTCTCTGATTCCCTCTCTGCTGCTTGTGTTTCACTCTGACTGTATCACTATCTCCTTCTGTCTCTCTCACTGTGTCTTTATTTCTCTCACCAGTCCCTCTCTTTGTCTGTCTGTCTGTTCATCTGTCTTTCTCTCTCTCTCTCTCTCTCTCTCTCTCTCTCTGTTACTCTTTACCCCTCTCTAGCTTTGTCCCATATATCTCTCTTTCTTACTCTGTCTGAAACTCTTTATTCCCACTCTCTCGCTGTTCATTTTTTTCAGTCTCTCTGCTGCTCTTTCTGATTCTCTGTCATTCTCTCTCTCTCTGCCAGTCTCTATCTGGCTGTCTTGTCAGCAGTACTTTTTTTTATGGTACATTCAGTATTCAAAGCTTAGATCATAACTGTATTATCTTGACTGCCATATAACCTAACTAAGATGCCAGCCTGTCTGCTCAGTGTTTTCTTGGTATTGGGTGAGCTCCCATAGTTGGTACTTTATCTTTAGTTGTTTTTGTTTAATGCTCAGTGCGTGGCATCTATTGCTTCATGTCTGTTCTGCTCATCCTCACTCTCCATCTGTGTCTCCCCCTCATTATAGCTGTCTATCTCTGACATACTCTTCTTTCCCCCCCCTCGCATCCCTGTCTCCTACTCTTCTCTTTCTCTCTCTCTCTCTCTCCCACACACTTTCTTTCTCACTTGCTTTCTCTCAAACTCTCATCATACTTCTTCCTCCCACCCCATCACACTTCTGTCCTCTGAGGGATTTGTCTTGATTCTTCTGTCCATGTCTGTCTACGGCCTGTTTTGTCGCTGTTCTGTCACGGATATTCTATAACTTATTTTCTTTCTCTCTTAGTCTCTTCACTGCTTTTTCTTCCTCTTTCTCATTCTCTTCCTTTATCTTTTCTCCAGATCTCTTCATTCTTTGTTGCTTCATTTGTTCTCTCTCTAGCATTCTCTTTTTCCAACTCCCTACCCTCTTTCTGTAAATCGCCAATTTCCTCTCTCCCCCCCCCCCCCCCCCCCCCTTGAATAAGATAATAAGATAATTGCAACACTGTGCAACAAAAGCCATGTCTTATGTGTCCCATGCATTTACCTGCATGAGAATGTTCTCAACAGCCGGTTGCATTTGTTCACTACCATTGTTTGCTGTTTGATTAGGATTATGGTTATGATTCTCATTGTTGTATTGTAATTGTGCATGAAGCAGGCAGCTAGAATGTTGAATAGAGGATTTGTTGGATGTTTCTGCCTGTCCCATTGTTGCATGGTGCTTGTTTGTTGGTAGTTCTTTCATTATTTTGTGTTTGTGTATTCATACTAGTATGCATTTGCTCAGTGTCTTCTTTGTAATTTGTGTTCTGTCACTGTGCATATGTACAGAGACTCAGTCTGTCTCTTTGTATATGTATGCAAGCCTTTAAAACAGATGTTTGTCACATACATACATACATACATACATACATACATACATACATACATACATACATACATACATACATACATACATACATACATACATACATACATACATACATACATACATACATACATACATACATACATACATACATACATACATACATACATACATACATACATACATACATACATACATACATACATACATACATACATACATACATACATACATACATACACGCATGCATGCACACATACATACATACATACATACATACACGCATGCATGCACACACACATACACACACATACATACACATATATACACACACATACATACACACACACATATATACATACACACTTACACACGCATGTGCGCGTGCAGACACACACACATGTATTAAAATGTCTCTCCATCTCTCTCCATTTGTATCTCATGTATGCTTATGAATAACTGTCAGTTAATCTTTCTCCTATCTCTCTGTTTTCTGTTGCTCTGGCTGTCTATCTGTGTTTGTCTCACTGTCTCTGTGTCTTTGTCTCTCTGTCTCTCTCATTGTTTGTGCACATTTAGCATGTGCTGTTTCACTTTGTGTACTGTTTATATTTGTCTCTGTCATTGCATTTCGATCTGTTTGACTCTCTCACCTATTCCTCTCCATCACCTGTATTTGCACCACTGGCATGTTTGCCTAGTTGATAATCTTCTTCAGTGCTTCTCTTATCTTCATCTCTTGTCTTATCAGTCCATCTGCATTGATCGATCAATTTGTACTCTCCAAGCTGCTACTTAAATCATACCATCCTGAGATTTAAAAAGAAACAAAATCTCAACCTGGATGCCAGACTAACAAGCTAGATCCCAGATACCCTGTGTAACCTCCAGCAGACCATTTCCCTGCCTTCAGATGTATTGAGCACTAGGGTTGCACCTGTATTTTATAGCATCATGCCGGCCACCTTTACTTCCCAATTAAGGCTAGGTCTCATGGGAACCAAGACAATTTAAAAACAAAACCTTAGCTTCGTCAGGACCTGAGCCCACAACCTTCCAACCTGTGACGGGGCGTCTAGCCGCTACACCGTGGCGGCTCCAGTTTAACCTCAGAAGAAGTTATAATGAAGGCTATCTGTAACAGCTAGACCAGGCAAAAGTAACCATGGCGAATCCGCATCTTGTTCCATGATGACGACAATGTGAAAAATATTTTCACCGTGTGTCAGTCATATATCTTATTCTTACTCTTGTTATCCAGCTGAACTCCAGGGAAAAGTTCTGAATGTTCATCCACTTCTGGACTCTAGACTGGCTCCAGAACCTGAGTGTTGCATGCACATCTGTTTGTTTTAGAATCCAGAAGCCATGAGTTGTTAACCCTTAGGCTCGGTATTATGGATATCGCAACCTTTCGGCCTTGATTCTATTGTAAATACCGTCAATCTGGGAGAAAATGTGGCTTTCCTGCCCACCCCCGGGATTGAACCCGGACCACAAGGAGTTCGTCACCCGGTCTCCACGCAATCCAGTTTAGCCAATTACGCTAGAGAGCCGGGCGATCACATCTGTTTTACAGTTCTTACTCATTTTTGTGTCGAGTGTTAGTTTCCTGCCTCTCAAACTTGGTGGAAGATTGATGCATGATAAGGTAGACATTGTCGGGGTCTTGTTGTAGAATATGTACACTTTGGATCACCAAAGTTTGGTGAGACTAATGTAGCGAGTAGTGACGAGGGAATCTGGCCTTTACTCAATGCTCAGAGAAAAGGCAAGACGGATGTTTAATCAGAATGCTACTTGTACTATTGGTATTGGAATTCTGTGTTGGCTGCTGAAGATGAGGACGGAGCACTTAATGGAAATGCCCTGAGTGCTGTGATGTCAGTTCTTGAATCAACTGAACTGAACATTGTTTTCTGCCTGTCTTGCGTTTTACCATTATCACACTTATTCCGTTATTTAATGAGATGATGTTTCATATTTGCAGGTGAATGCTAACAAGCGTGATGCCTTCTTCAGGACAGGCGGCGATGGGCCCACAACAAAATTTGACCCCACAAATCGTTATCCAGGGCACGACCGCGACCGTGACCGTCTGATTAAGAAAGAGGAGAACCACATATCTCCCAGTGAGATGGAGAAGGAGAAAGAGCGGGAGCGTAAATATGGGGCGGAGACACGCAAAGAACTGGAAGGATATGTAGGATTTGCAAATCTTCCCAACCAGGTGTATCGCAAGTCGGTCAAGCGTGGTTTTGAGTTCACCTTGATGGTTGTAGGTGAGGCGTGTGTTTTTCTTTAGTCATTAAGATAAATGCTAATACTAAAACCGTCCACATTCAACCTGGTGTTGAATGTTTAATAAAACTACATCATAGCACTCAGGGACACTCCCATAAGCGCTGCATCCCCGTCTTCAGTAGCAGAGAGTTCCAATTCCAATTCTACCAGTAACTGTCTGATTGCATATCCATCTTGCCATTCTCCGCTGCCCTGTTCACTCACTCCCAAAGGGCCTTCACAACATCTAGCTTGTCATACATCCGTTCACCACCAAGTGGTGATGAACCAGCCAGTCTATCTGCCTGCTCATTTCCCAACAGACCACAATAACCTGGAAAAAATATCTTAAGGAAGTTAACCAGTTAGGACTTTTTGAAGCGATTCTTTTTTACTATAACCTGATGCAAATGGGGAAAAAGTGGAAGAGATAAAGAGAGAGACAGACAGATACAGTGTGTCAAATGGTGTAAAATTGCATGTGAAAGAGAGAAGAGGAGGGAAAGAGAGATAGATAGAGAGAATGTCATCAGAACTAGAAAAAAGAGCCATATCTGTAGAATGAATGTACATGCAAGTTCTGGAACAAGACTGAAGTCCAGAAGTGGCTGAACCATCAGAACTTTCCAACAGGGTTTACAGCCGAGTAACACTTAGAAGAAGAAAAATAATACAGGTGTGCTGTAACCCTGGGTACAGTAAAGTAGAATTTTCAAGAAAGTCATGTAACATATAATTTCAGTCCCCTGATAGGAATAAAACAGTGTTTTTAGTGAGAGAGAGAATATGATAAAGACAGATCTTTATCACAGTTAGAATACAGGTTGCTAACCCTGGATATAATAAAGTTGAACTTCAAAAGAATATCTAAAAAAAATCATAGCGATCTCATGAGTGGAGTGAAATGTTTTTTTTGTTTATATACAGTGTGTGGGAATGAATGAGTGAGAGAGAGTGAGTGTGAGTGAGAGAGATAGAGAGAGGACTATTATCAGAAAGCAAATGTGCTCTAATCCTGCTTTTAAAAAAAAAACGTCTAATACGTTCCACTCATCTAAATGGAAGGCAGCAATGTTTTTCTAATGTACATACGGTTGTGGCTGGGAGTGAGAAAGAGAGAGAGAAAAAAATTGCTAGTGTCATAAATTGAGCACATAAGCCCATCTTACATTAGGCCCTCCAAACCACTCTTTTTTTTTTTCACCCAGCAATTTTTGTTTATAAAAAGGTAAAAGCCGGGAGATGTTACCAGCTTCAGTGCGCATGGTTATAAACCATAAGTGCTCTGTCACCAATACAGACAGCTGATAAGAAACTGTCCGCCCGAACTCTGTAGCTACAGCAATGTTCCTCCATTTACTCCAGAGTGTTAACTCTGGTGCCCATTTCCTAGAGGCTGGGTGAACTCCGAGAACCGTCCGGTTTCGAACACCGGCCGTGGGCTGCATTGAGTCGCAGCTGGATGTGAAAGCAAGTCTCCTATCGAATGCGCTAATGCTGCCCCTTATTTTTTTTTATTGTTTATGATTAATGCATGTTAAATTCATTTAGGAATAGGCATAATAATATGAATACTCTGTGCAAATAGATACAATCATTCTACACATGCATATATACACATACGTACCTGTGTTATTACTTTTACTTAATTTTATGGGCCTCAGTAACGCATAGGCATATCTACGTAGGCCTATTACAGCCGTCTAAACAGCATTATGTACGTCTTGGCAAACCAGTGTGCTGGGACTCCCTCGACACAAATGGCATTTTTATTTATGGTAGGTCACTTGTCATTCACAGATTAACATGGGGCCTCATGCTCGTAGGGGCCCCTCAGGGTAAGTATCCAGCGGACCCCGTGCGTTAAGGTAGCACTGAGACCTGTTTGTGTACACACTGAATTATTTCCCTTTGCCCTCTGCTCCACAGGCGAATCCGGGTTGGGCAAATCCACTCTCATCAACTCTTTGTTTCTGACGGATCTCTACAGTGCCGAGTATCCGGGACCCTCCCTTAGAATACAGAAGACTGTCAAGGTAATGGATGATTAGAACAACCTAAGTACATGTTTTCTGTGGCTTCACACACCAGTCATTAACTGTACCACTTGAACCCTAGTTTCAGCAGCCACATATATATTAATTAATCCACTGAATTGTATCAGGTCTTGGTCAGATATGACTAAGCTACGGTATATAAGTAGCCAGTACCACCTGTCTTCTGTTAATGCCGATTGTTGGGTGGGGTATACTAAACCTGGAATCCCATATTGTGCCAGCGGCCTTGGGCAAAGGAGCACACTGGAAAGGATACTAACCTTATCCTAGGAAGAGAAAAGGCAACCTGAAAATCGTATGACAGGGCAGACCAGGCCATTAGTCTTGTCTGGCAACTGGCCTAGAAGGGAAGCTCTGACACGGGGATAGATAGAGCACTGCTCTTATGATCCGGTAGCTTCTGCAAAATGCTTTGTTCCAGACGTACTGGTGTTACCTTTCCTTTGGAGTAAAGAAGGCATGTCAAGAGAGGGATCACGATGCATGGGCAACATATGGTCTCTACAATACTGCCCAGGCTTTGTGCTATGGGGAGGATGAGCCATGGGCTGTGAGTTCCATGCCTTCTCATAGCGCGATATAGCACTCTCATCTATTAAGATGGAAAGGTGCCAATCAATTAATCAAATTATCAATCCACTAAATTGTGACTGAGAAGCTTAGTGAAGGGTAGGAAGGGAAAGAAGTATATACACACACACACAAACTGGATGTTTTGGTGAGAGCCTTTATCAGCAAAAACCACACTAACAACAACAAGGGGCAGAGTATCCTATACATTCATTTGCATGTTATTTAGCTACATTTCACCCACTGATGTCTATGGAAATTTTATGAGGTCAGGCCCCAATCGCTTCCACAGCACATCTCTTTTACTTCTTCTTCTACCTTTCTACCCCCAATGGAGCACAGGCCTTCAACCAACTCACGCCAAGTCGTTCTATCCTTCGCTGTCGCATGCAGCTCTCATCATGTCCTCTCCATCTTTTTAACTTCACTCTCTGGCTCCTGTCTCCATGTGTCTTCTTTTTTTTTTTTTAACCTCTCTTTATTTCTCATCCTAAAATACAAATCCTAAAATGATTCATTTCCTTTACTACTTCCATTCTTCTTCCTACACTGTACAAAGTTCTAATATTCCAGGTGCCAGTTCTGGAGATTTTCCTCGGTAAGAGGAGGTACTTCGACAATCCAGACCCCTGTCGATTTTCCACCTACCGTATCATACTTCTTCTACTAGAAGAGCCTCCCGTCATCCTGGTTGGCTGGGTTTTTCTTGTAACGTCTCTTCTACTGCTGTGTGTCCAAAAACCATAAAAATGGTTTACAAAAATAAGTATTTAACTACCATACACTGAAATGAAACCTCAGGTTCTTGGACTCTGTTTTGGAGACCAATGAATAGACCCAATGCCTCTCACAGTGTGCCCCTCCAACAAGTACTTTGTAGGAGTTAATTGGTAGGAGTGTTTTCCTTCTAAGTCAGAGAGCCTGAGAGGCACGGAACCAACAATCTGCATACGAATAAGACAGATCTGCACACTGAATGCTCACAAAAAAACTCAAGTTCTGAAACAAGACTGAAGTCCAGAAATTGATGAACAAGCAGACATTTCCGCCAGAGTTTGCAGCTGGTGAACGCTAAGAAAAGAAGAAGTTGCCATTTAACATTCCTTTAACTGCATTGCAGTATTTTGGACCATTCTGCCTTCAGGTAGCCTCCATATATTACTTTTATGATGTTAATTTTCTTGACTAACATGTTTGCCAGGTTGACACCACGCAGGTGACACTGAAAGAGAACGGGGTTCAACTCAAGCTGACTGTCGTCGACACCCCGGGTTTTGGTGATGCAGTGGACAACAGTAATTGGTAAGTCAAGAACAGATCCATAATTAATGCTAAATGTAATCTAGCAAGCTCAACTGAGGAAATAAAAAAGACGCACACAAACACAATGGAACGTTTCGACCAAAGACTTTATGAACGGGGAGTTGCCGTGGCAGAGCGGCTAGACGCTCGCCACGGATCGAAAGGTCGTGGGTTCGCTCCCTGGCAGAGCTGAACTTCTTTCAGAAATGACCTTGGCTCCTAGGTCCACTCAGCCTTGAGTGGGTACACGGTGCAGTCCTGGGAAGTAAAGGTGGCCAGCATGATGCTGACCACATCACACATCTTGCGCCGATTGGTCTATACAATTATAGGTCCAGCCCTAAAGGCCTTTAAAAGGGTCCTTTACTTTTACTTCATCAACTAAATACAGCACAAACTATGACTGGAAAAACTCAACCGACAAGGCAACAGAGCTTTAAAAAAAAAAACAAGTTCATCATGAAACCAAGAATTACATAAGTATTCTTGTAATAAGATCCACTGCAGTCACCTCCATAATCAAGCTATGACACAGCAGTATTTGATAAGATTATGATGAGAACACACCAATGAGTGATTAGTCATGACACCACATGAAAAGATATTGGAGGAAATGAAAAGTAACACTGGTGAGCTTCACATTATCACAAACACTGGACATATAGGGCTAGACCTATATTTTTGTAGTCACTCAATGGGTGATGTGGTCAGTATCATGCCAGCCGCCTGTACCTCCCGTGACTTTCACCTGATACCCATTTAAAGGCTGGGTCGACCTGGGAACCGAGGTCATTTTAAAAAAAACAATGAATCCAGGTCTATTCAGATTTGAACTCAACCTTCTGATCCACAGGCAAGCATCTAGCTGTTACACCATGGCAGCTTCCCTGTATCTATTTATGATACAACATAAAGCTATTTTGCAATGTTAACATTTTCTTCTGTAACTATTCTTCATTAACTATATACAATATAAATGTTACATGATTATGTTAATGGGTGTTACCTTTTTTCTTCCTTAACCCTCTCTAGCTGGTCTCCGGTCATAGACTTCATTGACAGCAAATATGAAGAGTACCTCAATGCTGAGTCTAGAGTGAATCGGTCAACAAATGCTGACACCAGAGTACACTCCTGCCTCTACTTCATTGCTCCAACAGGACATGGGTAAGATGCTGGTTAGTTGTGGGCATACAGAACTTAGCAGTACTTCTAAGACATCTCCTAGCTAGTAGTTCTTCTAAGATATCTCCTAGCTAGTAGTTCTTCTAAGACATCTCCTAGCTAGTAGTTCTTCTAAGACATCTCCTAGCTAGTAGTTCTTCTAAGACATCTTCTAGCTAGTAGTTCTTCTAAGACATCTCCTAGCTAGTAGTTCTTCTAAGACATCTCCTAGCTAGTAGTACTTCTAAGACATCTCCTAGCTAGTAGTTCTTCTAAGACATCTCCTAGCTAGTAGTTCTTCTAAGACATCTCCTAGCTAGTAGTTCTTCTAAGACATCTCCTAGCTAGTAGTACTTCTAAGACAGCTCCTAGCTAGTAGTACTTCTAAGACATCTCCTAGCTAGTAGTACTTCTAAGACATCTCCTAGCTAGTAGTACTTCTAAGACAGCTCCTAGCTAGTAGTTCTTCTAAGACATCTCCTAGCTAGTAGTACTTCTAAGACATCTCCTAGCTAGTAGTACTTCTAAGACATCTCCTAGCTAGTAGTACTTCTAAGACATCTCCTAGCTAGTAGTTCTTCTAAGACAGCTCCTAGCTAGTAGTTCTTCTAAGACAGCTCCTAGCTAGTAGTACTTCTAAGACATCTCCTAGCTAGTAGTACTTCTAAGACAGCTCCTAGCTAGTAGTACTTCTAAGACAGCTCCTAGCTAGTAGTACTTCTAAGACATCTCCTAGCTAGTAGTACTTCTAAGACATCTCCTAGCTAGTAGTACTTCTAAGACATCTCCTAGCTAGTAGTACTTCTAAGACATCTCCTAGCTAGCAGCACTTCTAAGACATCTCCTAGCTAGTAGTACTTCTACGACATCTCCTAGCTAGTAGTACTTCTAAGACATCTCCTAGCTAGTAGTACTTCTAAGACATCTCCTAGCTAGCAGCACTTCTAAGACATCTCCTAGCTAGCAGCACTTCTAAGACATCTCCTAGCTAGCAGCACTTCTAAGACATCTCCTAGCTAGCAGCACTTCTAAGACATCTCCTAGCTAGTAGTACTTCTAAGACATCTCCTAGCTAGCAGCACTTCTAAGACATCTCCTAGCTAGTAGTACTTCTAAAACATCTCCTAGCTAGCAGCACTTCTAAGACATCTCCTAGCTAGTAGTACTTCTAAAACATCTCCTAGCTAGTAGTACTTCTAAGACATCTCCTAGCTAGCAGCACTTCTAAGACATCTCCTAGCTAGTAGTACTTCTAAAACATCTCCTAGCTAGTAGTACTTCTAAAACATCTCCTAGCTAGCAGCACTTCTAAAACATCTCCTAGCTAGCAGCACTTCTAAGACATCTCCTAGCTAGTAGTACTTCTAAAACATCTCCTAGCTAGCAGCACTTCTAAGACATCTCCTAGCTAGCAGCACTTCTAAGACATCTCCTAGCTAGCAGCACTTCTAAGACATCTCCTAGCTAGTAGTACTTCTAAGACATCTCCTAGCTAGCAGCACTTCTAAGACATCTCCTAGCTAGTAGTACTTCTAAAACATCTCCTAGCTAGCAGCACTTCTAAGACATCTCCTAGCTAGTAGTACTTCTAAAACATCTCCTAGCTAGTAGTACTTCTAAGACATCTCCTAGCTAGCAGCACTTCTAAGACATCTCCTAGCTAGTAGTACTTCTAAAACATCTCCTAGCTAGTAGTACTTCTAAAACATCTCCTAGCTAGCAGCACTTCTAAGACATCTCCTAGCTAGTAGTACTTCTAAAACATCTCCTAGCTAGCAGCACTTCTAAGACATCTCCTAGCTAGTAGTACTTCTAAAACATCTCCTAGCTAGTAGTACTTCTAAGACATCTCCTAGCTAGCAGCACTTCTAAGACATCTCCTAGCTAGTAGTACTTCTAAAACATCTCCTAGCTAGCAGCACTTCTAAGACATCTCCTAGCTAGTAGTACTTCTAAGACATCTCCTAGCTAGTAGTACTTCTAAAACATCTCCTAGCTAGTAGTACTTCTAAGACATCTCCTAGCTAGTAGTACTTCTTAAACATCTCCTAGCTAGTAGTACTTCTAAAACATCTCCTAGCTAGTAGTACTTCTAAAACATCTCCTAGCTAGTAGTACTTCTAAAACATCTCCTAGCTAGTAGTACTTCTAAAACATCTCCTAGCTAGTAGTACTTCTAAGACATCTCCTAGCTAGTAGTACTTCTAAAACATCTCCTAGCTAGCAGCACTTCTAAAACATCTCCTAGCTAGTAGTACTTCTAAGACATCTCCTAGCTAGTAGTACTTCTAAGACATCTCCTAGCTAGTAGTACTTCTAAAACATCTCCTAGCTAGTAGTACTTCTAAGACATCTCCTAGCTAGTAGTACTTCTAAAACATCTCCTAGCTAGTAGTACTTCTAAAACATCTCCTAGCTAGTAGTACTTCTAAAACATCTCCTAGCTAGCAGCACTTCTAAAACATCTCCTAGCTAGCAGCACTTCTAAGACATCTCCTAGCTAGTAGTACTTCTAAAACATCTCCTAGCTAGCAGCACTTCTAAAACATCTCCTAGCTAGCAGCACTTCTAAAACATCTCCTAGCTAGCAGCACTTCTAAGACATCTCCTAGCTAGTAGTACTTCTAAAACATCTCCTAGCTAGTAGTACTTCTAAAACATCTCCTAGCTAGTAGTACTTCTAAAACATCTCCTAGCTAGTAGTACTTCTAAGACATCTCCTAGCTAGTAGTACTTCTAAAACATCTCCTAGCTAGTAGTACTTCTAAAACATCTCCTAGCTAGTAGTACTTCTAAAACATCTCCTAGCTAGCAGCACTTCTAAAACATCTCCTAGCTAGCAGCACTTCTAAGACATCTCCTAGCTAGTAGTACTTCTAAAACATCTCCTAGCTAGCAGCACTTCTAAAACATCTCCTAGCTAGCAGCACTTCTAAAACATCTCCTAGCTAGCAGCACTTCTAAGACATCTCCTAGCTAGTAGTACTTCTAAAACATCTCCTAGCTAGTAGTACTTCTAAAACATCTCCTAGCTAGTAGTACTTCTAAAACATCTCCTAGCTAGTAGTACTTCTAAGACATCTCCTAGCTAGTAGTACTTCTAAAACATCTCCTAGCTAGTAGTACTTCTAAAACATCTCCTAGCTAGTAGTACTTCTAAAACATCTCCTAGCTAGTAGTACTTCTAAAACATCTCCTAGCTAGCAGCACTTCTAAGACATCTCCTAGCTAGTAGTACTTCTAAAACATCTCCTAGCTAGCAGCACTTCTAAAACATCTCCTAGCTAGCAGCACTTCTAAGACATCTCCTAGCTAGTAGTACTTCTAAAACATCTCCTAGCTAGCAGCACTTCTAAGACATCTCCTAGCTAGTAGTACTTCTAAAACATCTCCTAGCTAGCAGCACTTCTAAAACATCTCCTAGCTAGCAGCACTTCTAAGACATCTCCTAGCTAGTAGTACTTCTAAAACATCTCCTAGCTAGCAGCACTTCTAAAACATCTCCTAGCTAGTAGTACTTCTAAGACATCTCCTAGCTAGTAGTACTTCTAAGACATCTCCTAGCTAGTAGTACTTCTAAGACATCTCCTAGCTAGTAGTTCTTCTAAGACATCTCCTAGCTAGTAGTACTTCTAAGACATCTCCTAGCTAGTAGTACTTCTAAGACATCTCCTAGCTAGTAGTTCTTCTAAGACATCTCCTAGCTAGTAGTTCTTCTAAGACATCTCCTAGCTAGTAGTACTTCTAAGACATCTCCTAGCTAGCAGTACTTCTAAGACATCTCCTAGCTAGCAGTACTTCTAAGACATCTCCTAGCTAGTATGCAGAACTTAGCAGTACTTCTGAGACAGCTCCTAGCTAGTAGTACTTCTAAGACATCTCCTAGCTAGCAGTACTTCTAAGACATCTCCTAGCTAGTATACAGAACTTAGCAGTACTTCTAAGACATCTCCTAGCTAGCAGTACTTCTAAGACATCTCCTAGCTAGTAGTACTTCTAAGACATCTCCTAGCTAGAAGTTCTTCTAAGACATCTCCTAGCTAGTAGTACTTCTAAGACATCTCCTAGCTAGTAGTACTTCTAAGACATCTCCTAGCTAGTAGTACTTCTAAGACATCTAGCTAGTAGTACTTCTAAGACATCTCCTAGCTAGAAGTTCTTCTAAGACATCTAGCTAGTAGTACTTCTAAGACATCTCCTAGCTAGTAGTACTTCTAAGACATCTCCTAGCTAGTAGTACTTCTAAGACATCTCCTAGCTAGTAGTACTTCTAAGACAGCTCCTAGCTAGCAGTACTTCTAAGACATCTCCTAGCTAGAAGTTCTTCTAAGACATCTCCTAGCTAGCAGCACTTCTAAGACATCTCCTAGTTAGCAGTACTTCTAAGACAGCTCCTAGCTAGTAGTTCTTCTAAGACATCTAGCTAGTAGTACTTCTAACTCACCTCTCAAATAGCAGTACTTCTAAGACACCTCTCTGGTAGTTTTACTTCTATGATATCTCACAGGTATATCTCCCAGGTAGCAGTACTTTTAAGATATATCTCTTGTAGCAGTACTTCTAAGACATCTCTCAGGTAGCAGTACTTCTAAGATATATCTCTTGTAGCAGTACTTCTAAGATATATCTCTCAGGTAGCAGTACTTCTAAGATATATTTCTTGTAGCAGTACTTCTAAGATATATCTCTTGTAGCAGTACTTCTAAGACATCTCTCTCGTAGCAGGACTTCTTAGACATCTCCCAGATAGCAGTACTTTTGAAACATCTCTCTGGTAGTAGCATTTCTAAAGAGAACTCGCATTTAGCAGTACTTCTAAGCCATCTCTCAGATAGCAGTACTTTTAAGCCATCTCTCAGATAGCAGTACTTTTAAGCCATCTCTCAGGTAGCAGTACTTTTAAGCCATCTCTCAAATAGTAGTACTTTTAAGCCATCTCTCAGGTAGCAGTACTTTTAAGCCATCTCTCAGGTAGCAATACTTCTAAGCCATCTCTCAGGTAGCAGTACTTTTAAGCCATCTCTCAGATAGCAGTACTTCTAAGCCATCTCTCAGGTAGCAGTACTTTTAAGCCATCTCTCAGATAGCAGTACTTTTAAGCCATCTTTTAGGTAGCAGTACTTCTACCAATGTTCGCTCTCCACATGGCCCCGGTAACACAGATTACAGTGCAACCACTTTTTGCTTTTTATATAGCTCTGGCAACACATGGATGTCTTTTACACTTGTCACATTTTTTCTTAAATAATTAACCTTGCTGGATTTGTGATTAACAGAGCATTTACACAGTTCATGGAGTGGGTCAGAGTATCAGAGGACAAGTCTGACATGTTTAGAGTGCAGAGAGTGGCCAGCGGGTGCTACGGAGGATGAAGTCCAACAGTTGATTAACGACAATTCACGCCCAGGTGATCTGATTGAGAGGAAAGAAAAGTGCCTGGGGGTTCGTAGCAAAAGCCAATGGAAAATCTTTAGTGCAAGATAGCCTAGCATACAACACAATGTCTAGTATGAGAATGGAGGTGGAGGCGGTAACTGCAGCTCTCCTGTGGCTAGAGGGCAAAATGCATACACATGACATAATTGTAACAGATTCTGAAAGTATGCTGAGAAAGGTGAAGACAGGGATGCTTCGAGCAGAATGGAAAGCTTCACTGGAAAGATCACAGGTAGTGAGCATATTTTGGTTCTTTTCTCTTGGTTATGCCGGTGTGGTGGGTAATGAACAGGCAGACAGATTGGCTGGATCTGCACCACTGGGTGGTGAATTGATGTATGACAGGGTAGATGTTGTCAAGGCCCTTTGGGAACAAGTAACGGAATCAGTAGAGAAACAAGATTATTATGGCCTGGAGAGAATGAGGCACCTGAGTGTAATCAGAGGGTTTGGCCGACTCGCTACACTCAAGAGGAAAGGCGAGACGGACTTTTAACCAGATTGTGACCTGTACCATCAGTATTGGAACTCTGCGCTGGTTGTGGAAGATGAGGACGGACACGCATGGGAATGCCCCGAGTGCTGTGATGTCAATTCTTGACTTAACTAACTAACTAACTTACACAGTTCATGACCACTGACTTGTGCTGTGCATGTTGAAGAGCTGTCATGTTTGTTCCTACCAGACTGAAGCCACTTGATGTAGAGTTCATGAAAAGACTGCACGACAAGGTCAACATCATCCCTTTGATTGCCAAGGCTGATACATTGACACCAGATGAGTGCAGAGAGTTCAAGAAAACGGTAAGAGCCCTATTATGCATCATTATTGAAATTACTTTCTTCTTTGCGTTCACTGGTTGTTTACTGCGGCGGCGGAAACTTCTGGTTGCCTGACCACTTGGACTTTGTTCTTTTTCCAGAACTTAAATTTTTTGTGCACATCCATTTTACAGATATGGCTTATTTGTATGCTCACTGTTGGTTCCTCGCCTCTCAGGTAAATGTACTCCACTTTTGAAGGAAACTCCTAATTAGTCGACTGTTACAACATTCTTGTTAGCAGGGCAGGGTATCTGATCTTATCCCCAGTTCCCCCACAGGTCCCTAGATCCCACACGGGGAAGATAACTTTGACTTGTTCAGTACTTTGATGAGTTTAGTATTGTGAGTGTATTGCTGGCTACTTTCACTTGTGGAATTCTTTCTTTTGCCTTGTTTTTCGTTTGTTGCTGTCATTCACCAGCTGTAAACCCCGGCCAAAAAACCTGGTTGTTCGTCCATTTTCAGACTTTGGCTTTGTGTGCGTGTCCATTTTACAGATCTTGCTTGTATGTATGCAGACTGTTGGTTGCTTGCCTCTCAGGCAGATCCACTACGACTTTAAAGGAAGTCCCCAGTTAGTCGCCTCTAACGACAAGCTTGATGGGGAGGCAGTGGGTCTATGCTTTTTTCCCCACTATGGGACCCCGGAACCCGCACAGGGCTTTTTTATTTAGCTTGTTGATTACCTTGACTACGGTCAAAGTAGCCAGAAGAGGACAAAGCAGGACCTTATATCTTCGTCGACACCCGAAGCGGTCAAAGAGGACGTCAAGAAGAAGAAGTAGAAGAAGATAACTTTGACTTGTTCAGTACTTTTATTTGTTGGGTACTTTATTCTGTTATTACTTTGACCTGTACTGCCCTATGCAGAGTGGCAAGAGGTATGTTGGGAAATCAACTGGCAGATAGACTGGACAGTCACTTTGGTAAATTGGTATATGACAAGCTAGATGTTGTAAGGGCCCTTTGGGAGCGAGCAAACAGGGCAGAGGCACAAATAGGTCATCACGGTCTGATAAGAACGATGCAGAGAGTAGTAGCCAGGGAAAAAGAAGTTTCCCCAAATTTTACAGCCGGTGAACACAAAGAAGAAGTCCTGGGAAGTAAAAGCTGTTAACATGATGTTGACCACATCACCCATTAGGAAATTAAATTATGGGTCTACCTCTGGTATGTCAGGGTTTGTGAAACATGTTCACTCATCTATAAGCCACAGAGTCACCTAAAGTTATACTGGCTGTATCATTCTTGTATAAATGCTGCATGTGAAGCCTCTTTATATAACACATTGATTCTTCTCAAATCACCAGGTCTTAAATGAGATTGCTCAACACAAAATTAGGATTTACGAGTTCCCTGACTGTGAGGATGAGGAGGAGATGAAAGTACAGAAAAAACTGAGGGTAAGAATTTTCAGCTACTTGATTTTAACCCTGTCATTATGAGAAGGCTAAATAACTTCCTGTGATGATACAAGCCCGTAAATGCCAATATATCCCCATTTTCTGCGTGACCTGTTCACTCAAAGTGTGGTTGAATGCCATTTTCACTTTATGCACCTGCCTGGTGTCTAGGAGGCCCGGATGTGAAGCTAGATTGACCTCAAATTGTCCCGTAAGCCTCAGTAGTTGAGGTCATGGGGTCATGGCTTGTTAAAGGCTCTATGCATTGCATTCAATTTAACGCTTCACATTGTCCTTTTTTATTAATTATTCCCTTAGGCGCATCAGGCATTTGGGAAGAGCACCCATATTTTTACTGACCAATCGGATCTAGGTGGGTAGTGTGGTCAGCATTACGCCGGCCCTATTTACTTCCCCATATTTTAGGCTGGGTCGACCTGCGATGTCCCATCATCATCATCATCATTCTCAGGTGCCTTGCCAACTGGCATGGGCGATCATGTCTCTCCACAATCTGCGATCTCCTGCAGCATGTATCAGTTCGTGTGTCGACACACCTCCACGCCATGCAACAAAACTGTTAAAAATCTTCTCTCGTGGTCTTGCTCTATCTTACCTTTCACAGATCTTTGCAGTGGTCACAACATGTTCCATTTTCCCTCTTCCCATACCATGATTAAAAATGCATGCAGCCAGCAGTGGGAGACTGATAACTTTAAGTTGTCCTATCCTGAGAGGTTCTAGTTTAAAGTGGCCAGGGTTTGAGTCCAAAGTAATTGACATTTTAACACTACGGGGCCAGCAGTAAAACTAACAGTTCTAATATGAGTTAATGTAATGTCTGTCTGCGATAGAATAGAGTCAGAAATGTCTCCTCTCTTTTTGGACTAACTAATGAGTGTGTAAGGAGTGGCTGTCCGAGCGGTTAACCCACTGACTACCAGCGTCGCACGTAATGCGACAAGGCGACGTTTACTTCCATCTGCCAACGTCACACCCTTTGCGATTTTAGCTTTGGACGCTCGCCGTCATGTTAAAATCGCGATTTTTATGATGGATTTAGTTGAAACCTCTAGCTTATTCATTTCTGTATGGTTAATTAAGGGAAATAACTTCGTAGTGATTGAAGTAAATATTTGATGATTTTTTTTAGTTAGCTCCCATGACGGTGAGACATTGACGAAAAATTCATCATGGCGTCAAATTATCGGAACCATCGTGGTGGCCATATCTCTCCTAATTTTTCTAATGATGCATTCGATTTTCTTGATTTTGCTTCAAAAAGTGCATTTGAAGACACTTCTGAACAGTTTGATGGCTATGACTATAATAAATTTAACGAAGTGCCATTCAAAACATCGTCGATTGTAAAACGACAGTATGACGCTTCGAAGTCAAGTCTGACAAAGACAGTCACAGTGTTGTCGGCTGCAAGCACTGGTGCCGCAGTTTATGATGCTGATAGTTCTTGTAAGAGTATTCAGTCAAAGCCCACAGACTATAAAGATTTTGTGCTTGAGTCTGCACATGACGAAAATATCATTGCCGCTTTTGATTCAGAATCATCATCATCTAACGAGTCCGGGGAAGATGTGCCACGCCCCCAAATGGTTGATGACTGGCATTGTGATTTAGAAGGCTTTCCTGGAGTACCCCCATTTACTGGCACTTCTGTTTTATTTCTGCCAGAAGGAACAAATGAACCACTGGATATTTTCTTCAGTAAAGACATACTTGCTGTGTTTGCTAAAGAAACAAACCGTTATGCTGAGACAAAGATTAGTGCTGGGTTTCTTGTACTGTTGTGTCACATGTGTTGTGAAAAAGCTATTTCAGACTACCAGAGTTTATATCCATCTCTCCACTCATCATTTGCTGCCACCATCATGTCACGGGGGCGTTTTCTATATATTGCTGTCAGATAACATATTTTTCTGTTGCCTTTTTAGCACCATATCTACAGCCACATGATGATGATATAAAACAGTAAATCTACATTTGTCTTGATATTTGTTATCTATTTAATTTTGTGCAAACAATATCAGATAGGATAAGTGATATTGAACAGTTGTGAAGCTGTGACATTTTTTGGGAGTCTGAATTATTGTCAGATAAAGGATTTTTCAGTTGCCTTTTTTGCACCATATCTACAGCCACATGATGATGATATAAAACAGTAAATCTACATTTGTCTTGATATTTGTTATCTTTTTAATTTTGTGCAAACAATATTAGATAGGATAAGTGATATTGAACAGTTGTGAAGCTGTGACATTTTTTGGGAGTCTGAATTATTGTCAGACAAAGGATTTTTCAGTTGCCTTTTTTGCACCATATCTACAGCCACATGATGATGATATAACACAGTAAATCTACATTTGTCTTGATATTTGTTATCTATTTAATTTTGTGCAAACAATATCAGATAGGATAAGTATATTGAACAGTTGTGAAGCTGTGACATTTTTTGGGAGTCTGAATTATTTGTCAAAGGATTTTTCAGTTGCCTTTTTGCAACAATCTGCAGCCACATGATGATGATGATTATGTCAGACAAAGTAAACCCCATTTTTTGTCTTCACATTGTTCTCTGTTAAATTTTGTGCGAAAATACAAAATATTATATATGTTTGTTGAAAATTTGTGAAAAAAATCATCACTATCAGTCTTTATTGTTGTCAGATAAATGATTTTCAGTTGCCTTTTTTGCAACAATCTACAGCCACATGATGATGATGACTATGTCAGAGTAAACCTTATTGTTTTTTTCTTTAAATGTGTTCTTGATTTAATTTTGTGCAAAAATACAAAATATGATACATTTTTGTTAAATATTTTTTGAAAATAAGACATTTTTATTTGTCTTTATTGTTGTCAGATAAAAGATTTTCCGGTTGCCTTTTTTGCACCAATCTACAGCCACATGATGATGATGCAAAACAAAATAAACAACTTTTTTTTCTTGAAATCTGTTCTTCATTCAGTTTGGTGCAAAAATACAAAATATTGTGAGATTATATCAAATAGTTGTGAAGCTATGGCATTTTTAGTAAACACTAAAATACGTGGTATCTGGGGAAATGCAAGGGTTAATGGGCTTGGTAGTCAGTGGGTTAAGAACGTTAGGCTGTCATGTGGGAGACCCAGGTTTGAAACTTCTGTAAAGTTGTAGATTTTTCCTGACAGGGCAACAATAAAATCCTAACCTGCACAGTCCATGGCAGCAGCACTAACAATGCAGCCCCAGATCCTCAGGCACAGACCCCCCCCCCCCTCCTTCTCCCCCCACCCCCCTCTCCACCCAAAAGAGGTAAACACAGGCAGTAATGTGCTTTAAAAGAACAATTATATTTGTAAAAAGCGATATGTAAGGAATTGTGTGGCACTGAAAGTGATTATTAAACAGAGAAGCTGTGTCAGTATGTTTGAATAATTGATGTTGTATGCTCTGTGATATTCTTCTTCTTCTTTACGTCCTTCTTTAATGCTTCGGGTGTCGATTGAGATATAAAGTCCTGCTTTGTGCTCTTTTTGCTGCTTCAACCATAGATACATCGTGGTACTGTAGTTTCTCTGATGTTATCTTCTTGTTCTTGGTCTACTTCTTGCTCTACGTCCCTCTGTTCTTAGTCTACGCCTTGAATGGTATAGCATCAGAAGGCATTCTCCCCAAGTGGGCAAACCATTTGATTTGCTGTCTTTCTATTTAATTTAGAATTGGTTCTGTGCCGGCTTTATCTCGTTATGACCTCATTCCTGTTTTTAATTGTTCTGGTCACTCCTGCAGTCTTTCTTAGGCACCTCATTTCCATGGTTACTAGTTTTCTTTTATGTTTTATTGTGAGTGACCACGTCTGGCACTCGTAGCATAAGGTTGGAATAAATATGCTCTGTATGAGATGTCTTTTTGTGCTGATTGGGATTGCCTTATTCTGTAAGAGGGGGCTAGCTGTCCCAATACTTAGCCAGCTTTACTGCATCGAATGTCAGTTTTTTCGTCCTATTTACAATCTTCAGTGAATGTTGTTCCAAGATATTTAAACTCAGACGCCTGTTTACTATAATTGAAATATCTGTGATATTGACATATTTTAATATTATGGTATTGCAAAATGTGACAGATTGAGAATATACATTTGTTCTAGGGGGTTGTAAAAACATCATCTCAGAAAGGACTTTTTTTAAAATCAGTTGCATACTTTTGACAATTGTTTAATTTTTTTCTCCCTTCAGGACCGTGTTCCATTTGCAGTCGTAGGCAGCAATAGAGTCATCGAAGTTGGAGGAAAGAGGGTCAGAGGTCGTCAGTATCCCTGGGGTATTGTAGAAGTTGAGAATCTGGAACACAACGATTTCATTGCTCTCAGAAACATGGTCATCAGGTAATTATGAAATATTCAAAAGAAACACGAAAGCTTCATCTTAAAGCAGCTTAAAAAAATACATGGTTACCAAGAAACATTGCCGGTGTTTTAAACTGCTATTATAAAAGATGTATGTAAAGCATATACACGTGTGGTGTTTTAAAATGTGTAGACAAGTTTTGAATATAAATGTTACAGACAAGTTCTAAGAATATCTTGGGTAAAGAAAAGAACAAATGCATCTATACTTCAAGAGCTGAATATTGAAGAGGGTTGGCTAGTAAAGACAATAAAACAAAGAAAATTGAAATATTTTGGTCACTTGAAACGTCATGGAAGTCTAGAGAGAACAATAATGGAGGGGTATATGCCTGGGAAGAGAGGAAGAGGAAGGCCAAGGAGAAGATGGGTGCAGGATGTGGCAGATGATCTCCAGATGGGTGTATCAGACGCAGGACATCTTGCTCATGATAGGAAGGTTTTCCGGAGGGTTGTTATGGCAGCGAGGTTCCGCGAGGGACATGCTACTGAATGAATGAGACAAGTTTTAGTCTTACACTTAGTGCAATTCAGTGTCGGTGCAGTCGCTGCTGCGACCCTCTCTTTAAGGTGAATGGATTTTCTTTGTCTTCTCAGCCCCATTTTAACCCTAGTATTCTGTGGCTTAGGCGTTGAAAACATGCTTTGTGATGCCAGTGTGCTGGGTTAAATCCCAGCTGCAGACTAATTGTCTTGCATTGGTTTCACAGTGGTACTGAGAGCTAACCATTCCGAAAGCAGTGGCAAACTACTGAACATAAACTTTGCCTAGAAAAACTACAACAGCCAAAAAGTGCTTGTGTTCGCTCTGCAGCATCCTGTTGAGGATACACAACTAACTTTGATTCACACAAAACTTGTCTGAAAATGTTAGAACACTACACGTGTGGATCCGTTAAATACTTATTTTGTTAAAAATATCTGCAGTTTTTCTCAGTAGCCCGTAACATAACCAGACACTTAGCCTTAGTTGACAGTTGGTCTAAGAGGGAGGCTCAGACAGGCAGACATACCAGGCCCTGCACTTCAGATCAGGCAGCTTCTGCTGCATAATTCCAAATGTACTGGTGTTACCTTTCCTTTTGAGTACACAAAGCAGATCAAGGAAGGGCCTGAACTGCTATGGCGAGGTGACATCGAGATGGGCTGTAATTCCAGTTTCTCCCTATCGCACAATATAACACTGTCTGGAAGGAGGGAAACATACAATTTTTTTTTTAAGCCCATCCATTATTCCAGCTGGCTGGCATATCCCAGAAGTCACCTACCTTGTGTGATAAATAACCCAGAAGGCACACTCCCTACCAAAGACTTCCTTAGTGAGATTTACTGTGTAACATTGGACAGATTTGTATATTTCAGGTTTTATTTGAAATATTTGTTACTAAGGGCAGTCTGAAAGTACATGATCAGTTTTTTTTTACATTTATTTTTTTAATAAATGCTTATATTCTTAGTAAATTTCAGTTTAACACACTTGCTTCTTTGTCCTTCATCAATGTCAGAACACACATGCAAGATCTGAAGGATGTCACTAACAATGTGCACTACGAGAACTTCCGCTACAACAAACTGGCCCCAACCACAGCTGAAGGCAAAGTTAAGCCTGGCTCCCTGACCAAGTGAGTCCCTCGTTCTTGTCCTCCTTCTCATTTGTTTTTCTTCTGCTTCTACTTATTCTATTTTTCTTCTACAATTTCCTCTCCCCCTCTTTTATCCTTCTTTCATCTGCCTCTTATATTCCTTCACCTCCTCATTCTTCTTCTGCTTCTTATTCTATTTTCTTTTCCTGTTATTTTCTTTGCTCTTAAAACCCTCCTCCCCCCCCCCCCCCCCCCCCCTCCCCGCCCAGCCATCCTTCTTTTATCTGCCTCTTATATTCCTTTTCTTTTTCTGCTTCTCCTGATTCTTTCTTTTGACATCTCCTCTCCCCCTTCTTTATCTTTCTTTTCTCTCCCTCTTATATTCCTCTATTTGGTGTTTGCTGACATCACAAAGTTGCTGTTTGTCTTTACAGTGGAACCTCGCTTAACGAGCATAATTCGTTCAGAATCATACTCGTTAAGCGAAACACTCGTTAAGCGAAACAATTTTTCTCGAATAAATTAATGTAAAATACGATAATGCGTTCCATGTCGAAAAAAATACTCACAAAATGCTATGTATAACATTTATTCAAAGAAAATTATATGCATATTGTTAAGGAGAGTGAATCAATCATCTTCATCTTTTCTTTAAACGCAGAACGAACCCACCTGAAATGTGAATTAGATTTGCAGGGAAAAAAAGTCGAAATAATTATGATACATAGATAATAATTTATACATTTTTTTTTAACTAAAAAAATGTCCAGAGACATTTGGCGAAAATATGACACATCATTATCATTAAATAAATTTGCAACGCGCATAGCCCCTTCCTTATTAGAGTGAGGCTTCTCAATGTAAGATGCAGCAGTTTGCCATGCTTTCAGCATTTCTTTTTTTCGCTAGAAGATTGTTGCTTTTCTGTTACCTCCTCCTCCTCTGACAAACTCTCCCCCCCCCCCCCCAAATTTCTTGCTGTGAAACACAAAGTAACTCCATAAGCTCCTGGGTGGTCAGCTCTTGGCTGCGCTCTTCCACAAGCTTGTCGATATCACTGTTATCCACCTACAATCCTATGATAGTGGGCAAAGACACAATCTTGTTGACTACAGGTTCCACAGGTACTGTCTCGAACCCCTCAAAGTCACAAATCGACAACGCTCTCCGGCCAAAGCAGCAGTTAGGGTTCTCTTGGTAACCCCTTCCCCCGCCGTGTCCATCAACTTGAGGCAGGCAATGATGTGGAAGTGGTTTTTCCAAAACTCTTTGAGAGTGAGGTTGGTCCCTTCAGTCACCTGAAAACAATGCTTGAAGAGTGCTTTAGTGTAGAGCTTCTTAAATTTAGAAATAACTTGCTGGTCAATGGGCTGGAGTAACGGAGTGGTGTTGGGAGGCAGAAATTGGATCTTGATGAACTTAAATTCTTCAGGAAGGTCATCATTTAGGCCTGGAGGATTCATGTTCATATTTCACAATATAACACAAGTTTGAGAAATGTGTGATCACAAGCGACACTACGATGCTACCGGAGCAGGTGCTAAACACCGACTGATGTAACATGCGCACAATTGGGGACTTTCCCTCTCCTCGCTACTCGTTATGTGAAACGTCGCTCGTTAAGCAAGTCATTTTTTTTTTTACAATTTGTTATGCGAATTACTCGTTATGCGAGGTGCTCGTTAAGAGAGGTTCTACTGTACTTTTAAATTTTTTTTCACTTTTGTTTGCTGTATCAGTTGAAATCATTGCCATGTGCTCATACAGAACGTATACTGCAAGACTGCACTAAATATGACACATTAAGGTATACCTTGGTCCAAAAAAAAAACCAGTGAAAAGTAAACTCTACAGACCACTGTGAGCTAAAAATAACAGGGAAACTATGAGAGACAAAATTGCTAATACAGACAACTTGTTTCAGGCTAATGAAAGAGTAAGTCATTATCATCCTGCTGTTCTATATATAAACAAACAAGTGCTAGCTAGCAGCTCTTTCATTAGGTTCTGTCATGTTCAGTCTGTGTGCTGTTGTGGATGAATCAACTCCTCTGGCCTCTCTGATCAACGTTCATATTAGGTTTGTCTTGGATGTCATTGCTTCCTTAATTAGTTTGTTTCCCAGTCCATTTGCCTGTTTGGTTCTTCTCTGTCTACTTTTGCTCAGGATATGTCCAACACATCACCATCTGCTTCATCTTATTTATAACTGTTGATACAAAATATTGTCATCTCTAAATCTCTTTTAACTACAGTAAAAGGATGGAAAATGGATATGTAGTAAGATCTAACAGCCTCTCTAAAACAATACTACAGGATTCACTAGAGGGGAAGAGATGAAGAGGTATACCTAAAAAGACCTGGATACAGAACTCGACTGACTGTTAGGATTGCGGCCATAAAGACCATCATATCTGACCGCCATAGGCAGAGGGATCTGATCAGACAGTCAACAGCAGCTGGTGACCCAACAGCATGAGATAATGATACCAGCAGGTGCCAACAACATGAGATAATGATACCAGCAGGTGACCCAACAACATGAGATAATGATACCAGCAGGTGACCCAACAACATGAGATAATGATACCAGCAGGTGCCAACAACATGAGATAATGATACCAGCAGGTACCAACAACATGAGATAATGATACCAGCAGGTGCCAACAACATGAGATAATGATACCAGCAGGTGCCAGCAACATGAGATAATGATACCAGCAGGTGACCCAACAACATGAGATAATGATACCAGCAGGTGCCAACAACATGAGATAATGATACCAGCAGGTGCCAACAACATGAGATAATGATACCAGCAGGTGCCAACAACATGAGATGATGATACCAGCTGGTGACCCAACAACGTGAGATGATAATACCAGCAGGTGACCCAACAACATGAGATAATAATACCAGCTGGTGACCCAACAACATGGGATAATGATACCAGCAGGTGCCAACAACATGAGATAATGATACCAGCAGGTGCCAACAACATGAGATAATGATACCAGCAGGTGACCCAACAACATGAGATAATGATACCAGCAGGTGCCAACAACATGAGATAATGATACCAGCAGGTGCCAACAGCATGAGATAATGATACCAGCTGGTGACCCAACAACGTGAGATGATAATACCAGCAGGTGACCCAACAACATGAGATAATAATACCAGCAGGTGACCCAACAACATGGGATAATGATACCAGCAGGTGTCCAGAAATTTCGGTTCTGTCCCAATATCTCTCCCCCCCCCCCAAACAGACAGTCAATATTTTAGGGGGTTGTAGATATGCTGTATGCAGTCGTGAAACTTAGCCTGCATGCAGTCATGGGACCTAGGGTGCACTCTCTCGTGGGACGTAGGTGGGTTGGGGTTAGGCCCAGTTTTAGATGCTTTAGGGTCATTTAAAGCATCAGAAAGCTGGGAAACTCACTCTTACGACCCTCGAAAATATTGGACTGGCATGTGACATCATCCTGGGGGCAGATATTGGGAAGGCACCAAAATTAATGTAATATTTTTATTTCGCCTTCAGAAATTTTCTTCTTCTTCGTGCTCACTGACTGTAAACTCCAGCAGAAAGTTCTGGTTGTTCGTACACCTCTGGACTTTAAACTTGTTCCAGAACCTTAGTGTTGTGTTCACATCCATTTTACAGGTCTGAAATTTTTTTTATGCAGACAGTTGGTTCTTTGCTTATCAGGCAGATGCACTCTGAACCCCTAATTAGTCTCAATGGGACCCCAGAACCCACATAATGACTTTCATCGGTCATGACTTCATCCCATTTAATGTTGGTCATTGCAGTTGTAATGGGAGTCACCAGGGTGTTGGTGGCTAGACGCCCGCCTGTGGTTCGGAAGATCTGGGTTCACATCCTGATGAAGCCGGACTATTCTTCAGAAATGAACTCAACTCCCAGGTTGACCAAGCCTTGTGTGGGTACCAGGTACAGTCCTGGGAAGTAAAGGCTGCCGGCATGATGCTGACCACATCACCCATCAAGTGCCGATTGGTCTATAAAAATATAGCCCTATATTCCCAAAATGCATAAAGGCATGGAAAAGGGGCCTTTTTAATTACAGCTGCAAAAATTATAAACATGGCTGTGGGCACTTTTCCAGCTGTTGGAAAGCAAGGGAGACGAGCTCTATGTGAAGATGTGTATAACTAGCAAGACAAGCTCCAAAATCTTCCACAGTATATGTGTGAGAGACATTGGAGAACATAGTGACAACTGGAAAGATCAGTGGAAAAAGGAGTAGAGGCAGACCAAGAGAGACAAACCTGGGCGGGCTGAAATGATGGCATGGAGGGATATCATCAAGATAGCTGTTCCAGGCAACCAGGGATCCTGATCTGTGGAGACGCATGAGTGCCTACGCCAGCTGGCAGGGCACATGAGGATGATGATGTGTGTGAGATTTCAAGACCACCGTTGTCATCACATGCTGCTGACCTGCTTCTTCTCAGCTCTTAATCTGCTTACAGTCCTGTTCTCTTTTGTCCCTGTGGTCTCCTTTATTTCCCTCTCCATCCAGTGCTATCCATGGCATACCATTGTGATGAACCACCTCAGTTTCTGTATCAGCCATGTCCCACTTGCACACATCTTTAAAGTGTAGTAAAGGCATAAACATGGTATTGGTCATCATAATGTGACTGTTAGTCATCAGGAATTGCTTTCTCCATCCTTTACATAATACATATTCACACAGGACGTGGGTCACATTCACACAGGACATGGGTCACATTCACACAGGACATGGGTCACATTCACACAGGACATGAGTCACATTCATTCACTCTTTACATAGTCATATTTACACAGATGACATGGGTCACATTCACACATGACAGGGGTCACATTCAGTCGTAGAATGGCCACATTCATACATGACACAGTTATGTTCATATAGCAACAGATATGCAGTTGATGTTTGTTCTGTTCATTTCTGCAGGGATCCCCTGTCACAGATGGCGGAGGAGAGGCAGGAACACAATGCCAAGATGAAGAAGATGGAGGCAGAAATGGAGCAGGTGTTTGAGATGAAGGTCAAGGAAAAACGCCAGAAGTTGAAGGACTCCGAGGCTGATGTAAGTAAAGGATTGATTACGTTTAAACTGGAAAAAAATGAATTGTGTTTAATTGGATAAAGTTGATTTCTGTAGCGGCTGATTAGAAAAAAGGTTTGCATAGCTTTAGGATTGTATTACGAGGTGAATGCGAATGGGACCTCACCACATATGATTCCTGAAGACAGCATTGATACCCACGGGTTTGTTTTTGTGGTTGAGTATCAGCACCTTGTTTTTATATATGCAGTGTCACTTCAGTTTACAAATCGCTGTACATGCACATTTTTCTAGATGTGAACATTTGGTACCTATCTCCCCACTCTCGTCAGGTGTGAGAGTTTGTTCCGGCTCCCGTTCCTTTCCCTTGGTCTGTCCTATGTTGAAGGGGTGGTATGATATGCGTTTATTATTTGCCTCTTAAGTCTATACACGCCGTGCGAAAAAGCAACTCCTGTTCATTCGAGGCCCATGGAGCTCTCTTTTGTAGCAGGCAGCATTGAGCAACCGGGTGGTTGTTTTTTTTTTTGGTGCGCGAGGGCGAGTGCTTAACTAGTTTTCATTTCTCTGTAAGCTAAGTCTCTTGCGCAACTGTGACTGGTTTGAGAATTGGTGACATTGGGGGGAGGGGAGGGGGGGGGGGGGGGGGGGGGGGGGGGGGGGGGGGGCTGGGGGGGGCCGTCCAGGGGGGGGGGGGGGGGGGCCTGAAAAGGGCCGTCCAGGGGGGGGGGGGGGCTGAAAAGGGCCATCCAGGGGGGGGGGGGCGGGATTCATGGTAGCAAAGGTCAAGTCACCAAGTATCGTTGTAGTGATAGAAGAAGTAGAGTGAATGCACAATGCAAGTAACACACAAAGTGCCGGCTGCTCATAGCATGGAATATAGAATGCTTATAGCATTAAAAATAACAAAAATGACACTCCTTAGAAAATAGGACAGCCTTTGGGAAATCTCTCACCCTGTGAAATGGGAAAATGTTCAGGATATGTACCAGTTTTCTTTTCCATATCTAGTATTAACCTCTACATCCAAAACTAGATTTGAGATATGAACCGTGATGCACATATGGGCATGTTTGTTGGAAAGACCCTAAAAGGGGAATTAACACTGTTGATACATACAGTAAACACTGTTGATACAGTTATCTCCCTGGGCAAGACCATACATGTGGAAGTTGATGCAGACATAGGGGAGCTGGCAGGTGAGCTGACCACTGCAGAGCTACAAGATTTAAGAACCAATCAAGATAAAGTTAGGGATGATGAGGAAGAGGAAATGCCTTAAGAGAATAAAGACAGTGACAAAAAAATAAAGTAATCCTCTAACAAGTGACATCAACAGAATCTTGCAGCCTTGGGGTGAATTAGAGAATTAGTAAAGAAGGGCTATCTAAACCAGGCTGTTGTTTCTAAAGCCACCAGTTGGTGATGGTCCGTGGGCCATTTGCTAAGCATCTACAGGCCAGATTTGGCCTGCGGGCCGCCAGTTGAATAGCTTTGTTCTAGGCCATGACATATCAGATGGGGTAACTAGGACATTTCCTAGGGGGGCCTGTGCATTTTTGTAGAACTTGTTTACATCAGTAACATTTTGAACATTTTTGTCTTCAACTTCAGAAGATGTGGAAAAGGGTACTTTTACTTTTACTTTGTCTTCAGCTTTAGAAAGTGTGGAAAAGGGTACTTTACTTTTACATTTGTCTTCACCTTCAGAAGATGTGGAAAAGGGTACTTTACTTTTACTTTTGTCTTCAGCTTCAGAAAGTGTCTAAAAGGGTACTTTACTTTTACTTTTGTCTTCAGCTTCAGAAAGTGTGGAAAAGGGTACTTTACTTTTACCTTTGTCTTCAGCTTCAGAAAGTGTGGAAAAGGGTACTTTACTTTTACTTTCATCTTCAGCTTCAGAAGATGTGGAAAAGGGTACTTTACTTTCCTTTTACTTTCATCTTCAGCTTCAGAAGATGTGGAAAAGGGTACTTTACTTTTACTTTTGTCTTCAGCTTCAGAAACGCTCCGAACAAATGAAGAAGAGCCTGGAGCAGCAGCAGAAGGAGCTGGATGACAAATGGAAGGAGTTTGAGAAAGAGAAAGCTGCCTGGGAGGAGCAGTGGGGAGAGAGGAGTCGTTCCCTGGACAATCAGAAAGAGTAAGTCTGTCTTCTAGTATCGTTTGTTAATAATAAGTGAGCAAAATTTTGAGAAAACAAAACAACCTGTGTATTATCTTCCTGTAAAACTTGTATACAGTTATATCTGAGGCTTGTTCCAGTTGTATTGGCATTCAGCAAATTGGTGTGTGAACCACTGGGTGTCACACCGTCGGATTACAGTCCTAGAGTATTGTAAATAAGGTTTAAAAAAAAATTTGAAATATACATAGAGACACATGCAGCAGCAGATTTGTGTGCTACATAAGGAATACTTCCTGGAATTAACATCTTGTAGTTTTGTTAATTTTCAAAATGTCTGTACCAGTGAACTACCAGCATTTTGAATGAGATGGGCAGAATGGTGTTTCGTCGAGTGAGATGGGCTGAATGGTGTTTCATCGATTAAGATGGGCTGAATGGTGTTTCATCGATTGAGATGGGCTGAATGGTGTTTCATCGAGTGAGATGGGCTGAATGGTGTTTCATTGAGTGAGATGGGCTGAATGGTGTTTCATCAAGTGAGTTGGGCTGAATGGTATTTCATCGAGTAAGATGGGCTGAATGGTGTTTTGTTGAGTGAGATGGGCTGAATGGTGTTTCATCGAGGGAGATGGGCTGAATGGTGTTTTGTTTCATTGAGTGAGATGGGCTGAATGGTATTTCATCGAGTGAGATGGGCTGAATGGTGTTTCATCGAGGGAGATGGGCTGAATGGTGTTTCATCTGCTGAGTGTCAGATCCATATTCAGCTGTAGATGTTTGTTTTAACAAATAAATCTAAAAATTTTATGTTTAGGAAAATAACAGCCTGTACATTGGCCAGATTGCAGTGTATGCATTTGTTAAATAGCAGTTTGTGTATTTGCCAGAAAGGGATCGGGGCACATAGTGTTGTTAAATAGCAGTCCGTACAGTTAGTTGAGGTTTTTTTTTTTTTTAATTTTTTTTTTTAGTCAACTCATCCATTTAAAAAATCATCTCATCTGTTTGAAAAGCGAAACTATTCATTTCACTGTGCCTGTTTGAGTTTGCTGTACTTTTCTCATTTTAGGTCCACACTTTCAAGGGGAAGGAAATGGATTCATTTTTAGGTTGCACATTTTAAACTTACTTTTTTCCTCCAGTTTTTTGGGGAGAGCGGGGTTAACATTTTGCAAACTCCATTGTTGTTGTTGTTTTTTTTTTTTTTTCTGTTTGTTAAATTAAATTTTTACTTTATATTTTGCATTTAATTTTTTATATTTGATTGCTACCTGGTAATTCTAATCTACGGGTTAATGACATTGATAAATATTCCTATTTGTGATACCTAGGATGTGTAGTCTAATGAAAGCTCTGTCATTGTCTGTTATATATTCAAAAGACTAATTCCGCAGTGTATAGCCACATGGCTCTCCCTCTCTCTCTCTCTCTCTCTTCTCTCTCTCTCTCTCTCTCTCATCTCTCTCCTCTCTCTCTCTCTCTCCTCTCTCTCTCTCTCTCTCTCTCTCTCTCTCTATATATATATATATATATATATATATATATAATACTTGACCTTGAGATGGTGAGTTTATATATATTTATAATACTTGACCTTGAGATGGTAGAGGCAGTTGTGAGTTTATATATATTTATAATACTTGACCATGAGATGGTAGAGGCAGTTGTGAGTTTATATATATTTATAATACTTGTGTTAACTCTGGTGCCCATTTCCTAAAGGCTAGGTAAACCCCAGGAACCGCCCGGTTTCGAACACTGGCCGTGGGCTGCAGCGAGTCGTAGCTGGATTTAGAAGCAAGTCCCTATCAACTGCGCTAACACCACCCCCCCCCCCCACCCCATAATTATTTCTGATGTGCAGAAGTGAATCATGGACATGGACAATCAGGTGATTCGTGAAGAGTTGTGTAGAAGAGGTGGTTTTTTAGAAGAAGAATGAGAACACAATGGGCAGATTAACAAATGTAATTCAGATATCTAGAAGTAATTAACTTGCAAAGAGAACTAATTACCCACATCAGACAAGACATTCAACATTTTTGTGGACACGTCATGAGCAAGGAAAATTTGGAGTGCATAAATAATGACAGCCAGACTGTTAAATGAGAGAAGAACTAGAGCGAGATAAAGAGAGAGGAAAGTCTGATGCTTTCCTAATATCCTACCCCAAACGGGAAATCCACAGGTCAAGGTGACAGTCTAATATCTGATGGGGTGGTAGATAGGCTGCATGCAGTCGTGGGACCTAGGCTGCATGCAGTCGTGGGACCCAAGCTGCACTCTCTTGTGGGACGTAGGTGGGTTGGGGTTAGGGCCAGTTCTAGATGTTTTGGGGTTGTTAAAAGCATCAGAAAGCCAGGAAACTCAGTCTCACCACCCTCTAAAATGTTGGACTGTCCTGTGACATTGTCTGGGATAGGATATTATGAAGGAAACAAAAGTTTTGGACAGTTTAATTATCTGTGTTTGCTAGACTTTCCTCTTGTGTCGAGTGCGGCACATAGGGCAGAGGTCATGACTCTCCATGCATAGTGGTTCGTTGCAATCTGTTGTAGGTCTTGGATGTTTGAGTGGCCCATGAGTGAGCCTTCCCTGATGATAGTTCTACGTAGGGTTTCCCTTGGTCTTCCACGAGATTTTTTCCCCTTTGTTGTCCAAATGAGGGCTTGGTAAGGAAGTCTTGATTTTACCATTCTAAGGGTGTGGCCGACATAGTTCCAGCGGCGTTTTCGTATAGAAAAATTAGGACACCATACTCTTGCCCTATCGATTCTTGCCTTATTTGTGTATTGGTTCGGAAATAATGACCATTTGAAATTTAGTCTTATTCTTCTAAGGCATTTTTTTTTTCAAAAACTGTCTAATTTTGTGTCTAGAGTTCTCGTTGATTTTCAGCTCTCGCACATCCAATAGGTTAGTACTGGAATCACAAAGAATTGAGATCTTGAGTTTTTGTGTGTTTGCTAAGTGTCTTTGATTTCCAGATGTTGGACAGTTTATTGAAGGCACTAGATGCCAGTGCTATTCTAAATGGTATTTCTGGTGCGGTATCTCCTGTAGATGACATCTTGCTCCCTAGATAAGTGAAACTGTTGACTTTTTTAAGGCTGTTGTTGTTCAGCGTGATATCAACTGAACTTTTGGTAAGGTCTAGAATTTTTGTTTTTGCGGTGTTAATTTGGAGTCCAATTTGTTCTGAGAAATTTTGGAGTCGATTGATTTTTTCTTGGGCGTCTGTGTGTTCTGAACTCAGGAGTGCTATGTCGTCGGCGAAGTGTTTGCTAGTCCTAATAAAATGTTTACGTACTATGCTAGGTGTAAATAAGGAAATATTGACTTAGGAATGACGATTGTTGGCACAGAACCACTACTGAATGAACTTTATAGGTAGACAACAAATCAGATAGGAGCCAGACTTTTTTTTTTCAAAAATGACCTCGGCTCCCAGGTCCACCCAGCCTTGAGTGGGTTTCGGGTGCAGTCCCAGGAAGCTAAAGGTGACCAATGATGCTGACCACATCACCCACCAAGTGCTGATTGGTGTATAAAAAAGTCTAGCCCTATATGCCCTATGCGCCTAAAGGTGTGGAAAAGGGACCTTGACTGTTTACTTTTGTTAACAAATCAGATGGTTTGGCCTGTAACAAGATTGGCATCAGGCAGGGCAATATACAACCCTTTTTTGTTTTTTGCAATGCACAGGATGATGATGAGTATCTTGTTACACATATATATCTCTTTCTTCTCTTTTCTGTGAGGCACATGATGATGATATGTATCTTAATACAGATTTATGACCCTTTTTTCGGTGAGGCACATGATGATGATGCTTATCTTTATACACATATAAACTGTTTTAACTCTTCGAGTCCCAGGCGGGTTTTAGCATCCAGGCCCGGGGTAGTAAAGAGAGTCATAAAATAGGCGCATTATGTGTTCATTGGGCTTCTAGATAGGAACCTGTGAACGTATGATGCGTTCCTTGGGACTGAAAGAGTTAATTAATGACACAGACTTTACGGCATGAATAATAACACTGAGATTTTCTTTCCTTCTTCGCAGTAAAAAGACCAAGAAAGGCTTGTTCTAGAGCTGGTTCGATGACCATCAAACCAAGGGGCCATTACTCTGAATGACATTTAGCACACACACACAGAACCAAGACTTGGGAGAACTTTGCAGCAACTCCATTCATTCTCTGACAGTTGCCAGTTTGGTCACAATTGTATTCAGGTCTTTTTGTCATCACCTTTTATCAACAGTAATTCGATTTTGTTTCCCATGGTCATGCTGGACAAACAATGATGATGTACATATATAAGATGTGCGTTTTTTTATGAAGTACTGTGTCCGGACAACACCGCAGCACATTTTTTTAAGTCTCATGCTTTCAAAAACCTGGCTTGGCGTTTTTTTTTTTTTTTTTTAAATTATTCTTTCTTTGTTTAGTGTTGTACAGCACATGAGAACCAATCCTTTTTGGATGGCAGAGAAAATACACAGGGTTTAGAGACACTGGGAATGACAAGAGGGCTGTTGAAAGAAACAACAAAAGAAAAGAGTAAAATATTTTGGCCTCACTAAAAGATATAACACTCTTATAAAAAGTGTCCTGAGGGGGGAGAGGGAATATTTTAAGGCACTGAAGACTGGTGAGCAATGGGTAGACATTGTGACAAGGGGGAGGGTAGTATCAGAAGATGGACAAGCAGCAGTGTGAGCGTGCGTGACCAAGGCCTCGTAAAGAGTATGTTAAGGTCTAGAACAGCCAGCGCTAATTTTTGGAGATGGCACCTGAATCCCTGGCATTGTCTCACATGGATACCTTGACTGCCAGGTTGGCCCACCGCAAATGGGTACCAGGTAATGACTTTGGAAGTAAAGGTAGCCAGCATGATTTTGATCATACAGCCCATTGATTGCCAGTTGGCCTATGAGAAATATATGTCCAACACTGTATATTCAATGTCCCAAAGGTAACCTTCACATTTTACTTACAGCCATCAGTCAGTTAAATGAAAAATACTCTTTTGAAAACATTGGAATTTGAAATGTCTGTTATTTTATTGTCTTAACTCTTTGAGTCCCAAGGAACGCATCATACATTCATCGGTCCCGTCTAAAGGCCCAGTGAATGCAAGATGCGCCGATTTTACATCTCTCTTGACTACCCCTTGGGCCTCTGATGCTAAACCCCCTGGGACTCAAAAAGATAAAAGCCACTTACTTTCTCGAAAGCAGGAATAATGTATGTGATTCTAAGATTATTAAAAATATTATGCGGCTTTGCTTTTTATACAGTCTTGTTTCTTTATTGCATTTGGTGCTGTTGCAGTAAGTTATTAGCTTGAAATAAATTTGAGCTTCAAAATAGAATGCTAGCAAGCTAGTACAAGGATTTTTTTTTTTTTTTAACTATGATATAATTGAAGATTTCAATTTGAGCTTTTAAAGAAAGTGTAGGCTATAAAAATTGATGCCATGAAGAATAAATGTGAAGTATTCTTGAAACAGCTGCTGTTTTTTCATCATGAACAAAATCACTGGTGTATCTTACTTAAATACCTTTAGAGTTGAGTTGAGTCAAGAATTGACATCACAGCACTCGAGCCATTCCCATGCATGCTCCATCCTCATTTTCAGCAGCCAGTAGAGAGTTCCAATACTAATGGTACCAGTAGACATTAAGGTACGGTTACAGTACTATGTAAGATGTATACTTAAGTATAATATTGTTGAATGCTAGTTTATTAGTGTGAAAGTCTGGTTGTGCCGGTACATCAGTGTAGAGTGCCATTATAATCGTAGAGTGTGCCAGCACAATACAATGGAGTGCATGTGAGGTATAATCAGGCAGGTTTAACAATAAATTTAACATCATAATTTAAACCCATCAACTTTCCATGGAAGACAGACCAGAGCCATTTCTTACCAGCCATTTTGTCATTGGCAGTTAATTGCAGCTGTCTGTGTACATATTTTCTAGATTGTACCTATCTCCACTTTCTGTTGCATGTTTTTTGTGTTGTTCTTTCTCTAGTCGTTTGTTGTTTATAAGAAGAAAGATTGTCATCGAAAATTAATCAGCCATTATGCAGTGCTGTTTGTGGATTCCCTTTGATTAAATCAATTGCTGTGTATATAATCGTCAGGGTGTACACCACAGTTTGTTGCATGTGTTTTCTTTGTTGTGTGGTATTGATTGTTGCTTAGAGACATAATTGTATGAAGGGGGGAGGGGCGGAATTTTATGTATAGATGCCTGCTTGGCCGAAGGTCTCAAGTTCAGATCTGCAGCCCTAATTTGCCCTAGAGCTTCCAAGGCAAGCCAGTCTTAAAAACGTGTGCCAGGAATTGTAAAAGTGACCAGGATGATACCATCAATGGCTGATTAGTCTATACAAATTATGGCCCCAACGTATGCTGAAGCAAAAAAAAAAAAAGACTTGCTAAATTAATGCAGAGACTAGATTTAGCTTTAGATTTGGACGATGGATAAAAATCATGACACAAGATTAGTAACCCATAATTTCTCCGTTCTACTTCTGACTCAAACCTAAGTCCTAAGAATCTCAATCCAGTGCACGATCTCTGTAGCACCCGCAAAAATCCTTAAATACTTTGGGTATATTTTTAACTCCAAATTTTGCCTGGGCGCCGCGGCTAGGCTACTTTTTTTTCAATTTCCAACTTTCCCTCGAAGTCGGAGTACATCTGCCCGTGAGGCAGGGAACAGCAGAAGGGTTGTACACGCAAAACTTGGGTCCAGGTAAAAGCCAAAAGTTCAAGCGGACGATTAACCGGGACCTTCCGCCGGAATTCACAGCCGGTGAACGAAGAAGAAGAAGAAGAATTTCCAACTGCCAAAGGGACTTGTTATGTGTGTGAGCACAACAATACACACAGAGACTAAACACCATGAAGGACCAATGACACATCTGCAAATGAGTTAAAGTAAACATTTTGGGATCGTGCATATTTCCTTTGCTCATTTTGTATGTAAGTCATGGACAGTTGTTAAATAAAAACATCAAAGCTTTTGAATAAAAATGCTATAAAACAATTCTTAGAATAGCATGGACCAAGAAGAAGAAGGAGAACACCCACATCCTGCATGGTGTGAGCATCAAGAAGAATTGGCTCATAAACAGCATCTTGTCCCATAAACAGCACCCTGTCCCGAAAGCTGAGATAGTGTGGCCATGTTTAAGGTCATGTTGGCCTGGAGAGAGCGGTGATGGAGGGTAACATTTCTGAAGAACAAGGCAGAAGGTCGATACAAGACATTGAAGATGCATTGGTTATGGAAGCATATAGAGCTAGAGACAAAGAGGCACTGAAGCGTGCTGTGTCGAGAGCAACGATCCATAAAGGAAGGCAGAAGGTGGATACAAGACATTGAAGATGCATTGGTTATGGAAGCATATAGAGCTAGAGACAAAGAGACACTGAAGTGTGCCGTGACGAGAGCAACAATCCATAAAGGAAGGCAGAAGGTGGATACAAGACACTGAAGATGCATTGGTTATGGAAGCATATAGAGCTAGAGACAAAGAGACACTGAAGCGTGCTGTGACGAGAGCAACGATCCATAAAGGAAGGCAGAAGGTGGATACAAGACATTGAAGATGCATTGGTTATGGAAGCATATAGAGCTAGAGACAAAGAGGCACTGAAGCGTGCCGTGACGAGAGCAATGATCCATAAAGGACAAGCTGGTTGATTGATTGATGATATGATCAACGCACCATTGACATGAAAAGGATTCTTTGCTTTATTAGTTATCTTATTTTTTTTTAAATAAAGCAGCCTTGTCTGAACTTTCAAGTTGCACTCCCTCTGGTTATGAAAATTAAGTGAATGTGCATGTGTTCATTTGCCCCACCGATTTCTTGTGGTTTTAAGTTTTTTACTTTTTTATTCTGATGCTGTAACCTGCGCATTATTCATTTGTGAATTATACTGGGTGGATATTGTTTCACACTACTATGTTAGTGTCTTGGTTGACTGTTCTTTTAATTATCTTGAATTTAACAGTGCCAATTTCACCCAAACATTGTTGTATTATTATTGCATGTTAGACTGTAAGTTAGTAGTTTGAATATTTGCTAATGGAATGAGACGGGAGGTTTTGGATAGACATGGCTACTAGTACCACACAACATGGACTAAAAAAAAATAAAAATTTCAACACCATTGAACAGATGAAGTTACAGTAACATATGGTAAAGATTAAAATTGTTGAACACCATTGAATAGATGAAGTTACAGTAAAAGTCTAATTAAAAAATTGAGATCACAGAACTCAGGACACTCCCACAAGCGCTCCTTCCCCATCTTCAGCAGCCAGCGGAGTGTTCTAATTCCAATGGCACCAGTAACTGTCTGATTGTATATCTGTCTCGCCTTTCCCTTAAGTGTTGAGCGTTGGCCAGTTCCCTTGGCGACTCCTTGCAGTGCCATTCTCCTCAGACAGTAATAATCTGTTTGTGCCTTCGCACTGTTCACTTGCTCCCAAAGGGAGGGCCCTCACTATATCAGTTCACCACCAAGTGGTACAGAGCTGGCCAGCCTATCTGCCTCCTCATTTCGCAATATGCTGGCATGACCTGAATAAAATATCTAAAGGATGTTAACTACCTGGAACATCTGAAGTGATGCTTGCCACTCTGCACGAAGCATGCCTGTCTTCACCTTTCTCAGCATGCTCTGTGATTTGAAGTTACAGTAACAAATAATATAGAAGAAAATTGTTAACACCGCTCAATAGATGAAGTTACTTTCAGTAACAAATAATATAAAAGAAAATATTTGACAAGGTTGAATAGATGAAGTTAGTTACAGTAACAAATAAGATTGAGTAAAATAGTTAACGTCACTTAATAGGTGAAGTCAGCTAAAGTAATAAATAGAAGAAAATAATTAACACCACTTAATATATGAAGTTAAAATAGCAAAGTTGAGATTGTGTAGATTCATGTAAAAAAAATCTGTAACAGAAAGAATCAAGGCAAGTATATTGAGTGTTTTAGAATAAGTGCGGCAGTAGAGAGATGGTTGTGTTTTGATGTTTTGTGTTCCATAAGTGTA